CTGGCGTCGATGCGGCCTGCAACTCTGGCGTAGGTACCGGCGTAGGCGCAGGCGTGGGTGTTGACGCTGGCGGTGCTGTCGTAGGGGCTGGCGTCGGTGCTGGCCTCGATACGGACGTCGGAGCTGGCGTCGAAGCTGGCTGCAACTCTGAGAGACGATGATGCCGAGGAGAGGTCTGTAGGTCACCAGGCTTCGGCGGGCCTGAAGGCGCCGCCGAGCGAGTGGCCATACAGGGAGCGCAGGAGTGGCTGATTGTGGTGCTGACGTCTCTTGCGGCCGTCGGAGCTGTCGCTGGCAGTACTGGCGTCGCTGCCGTCGATGCTGACGTCGGAGCCGCCGCTGGCAGTGGTGGCGTCGCTGCCGTCGATGCTACCGTCGGAGCCGGCGATGCTATCGATGCCGCCGTCGGAGTCTGTGAAACTGCGGGCGGAGCCGCCGTCGCTGCCGTCGATGCGGCCGTCGGAGCCGACGATGCTAACGATGCTGACGTCGGAGCCGGCGGTGCTAACGATGCTGCCATCGTAGCTGACGATGCTAGCGATGCTAGCGGTGCTGCCGTCGGAGCCGTCCTCGCCGCCGTCGATGCTGCCGTCGGGGTCGGCGAAACTGTGGTCGTTTCTGCCGTCGGTGGGAGCGTCGATGCTGACCTCGGCGCCGGCGCCGGTACTGCGTCGTCAAGGTCGTCGTGGTCGTCGTCGTCTCCTCCTCCTCCTGCGGGGCGGGGTGAGGGAGGGGGCGAGGATGGTGCCGAATCCGTACCCCTCGCTGGCGTCGAGGCTGACTGCAGTGCCGTCGTCAGAGCTGGCGTCGATGCTGTCTGCGGAGCTGGGGTTTGGTCCGTCGTGGACGTGGGCGTGAAGGCTGCCGAGGACGATGCTGACGTCGATGTTGACGTCGATGGGGTCATAGGCACAGACGCTGGTGTCGGCAAGGCGGACGGGTCATGGCATGACAGGACGGCCCCTCTAGCGTCAGGTGCACCTGAAGGCAGCACCCTCGCCAACGGCCCTGGGCGAGGCGTCAGGACAGAGGATGTTGAAAGGCCCGTCGAGGCTGGCGTCGATGCGGTCGGCAGTGCTGGTGGCGATGCTGAGGTCGATGCAAGGACGAGCATGACGACGGCCGAGATGGTGGCCCGTTTGGGGCGGGCCAGGCCCGCCGTGCCCTTGAAGCCGCAGGCGGAGCCGAGGACGCCGAAGAACGCGTAGCCGACCTTGACGGCCCTTGTGGGGCGGGCTGGGCCCGCCGTGCCGGCGGAGTCGACGATGTGCTTGACGACGCTCCTGGTGCCCTTGCCGATGGTACGCAAGACCGTACCGACGGTGCCGAGAGCGATGCCGAAGGTGGAGCCGAGGCCGTACCCGAAGTTCAGCAAGATAATGCCGATGAAGTTGAGAGCGGTGCCTCCGGTGCCGCGGGAGCGCTCTCGGGGGGAGGTTGGGGGCCGACTGCTTGTCACGCACGGCGCGACGACGGCAGGCGTGGGAACAGCCCGACCGCACTCAGCACCGTCACCCTCAGCAGTCGGGAGCCCGACCCCCCCCTGGATACCTGGCCGTACCGAGGTGAGCAGGTGCTGGACGGAGTCGTCTGTGTTGGCGTCGGTGCCTGGTAGGTGAGCGCGGAGGTCGGCTCGGTAGGCGCGCAGCTCGGCGCGCAGGTGGAACACGTCGTGCCCGAGTATACGTAGATCTTCGTGAAGATCCGCACGCGGCACGTGTGGGGCGTGTCCAGGTGGTACTGGGGGGTCGCGCCCGTGCAGGACGGGCACGCGGAAGACAAGGTCCTGGTGCCTATGTTCAGTAACAAGGCCAGGCAGCTCAGGTAGTACAGCATGGTGAGACGTGAAAGTGCGGTGGCGGCCTGGCGCAGCCAGGGGGGCCATGGCGGCAATCGCACTGTGGAAGTGAGGAGACGCAAATCAGTACCGCGCTGCTGGCGCGGTTCCGGTCTCGCGAGGCCTGGAGTCGGGACTCCAGAGCGGGGCGCTTCGCGTCGCGGCTACGCTATGAGTGCAGGGCACTCTCGAGCCGAGGGACGGCAGAGAGAGAGAGAGAAACAACAATATAGGGATATCGATAGATGTAACATAACAAGGTTCATAACGTGCCGTACGACGTGGCGCGGGTGCCCCGCGCACCTGCCAGAAGGATGAGGTTCCATGGCATGCGGCTGGCGCTCCAGCGAAGAAGGACGCGAATACCAAGCTGCGCTGCAAGTCGTCCCGAGCATTCGAGTGGACGGTGAGCGCGTCAATGATGCTTGTGACTAAGAGCCAGGACGCATCTCCCCCCCCGGGGCTGATGAATAAACCCCGCGGGGCGCGATGCCGAGCGCGCCAGGGGGAGGGAGGAGAGAGGAGGGGGAGGGGGGAGGAGGAAAAAGAAGAAGACGACGAAGAGGAGGAACCGTGACTCTCGGGCCCGAACGACGAAGAGAGCGGCCGCTGGAAATGGGCGCAGACAGGGCGGGGGACGGCGGCGACGACGACCGCGACAGAGGGGGGGAGGACGACTACCCGCCTTGCTCGGGTCGGACGCAGGGCTGGGGAAAGAAAGGGGGGGGGTGCAAAGCCTGCTGCGCGCAGCTGCTTTCGGTCGCCCCGCCGAAGGGCCACTCCTCGACGCATGGCCGCTTTCGGATCCAGGAGGCGCTTGGAAAATCGGCGATGTGAGTTGCTTGGCAAATCCTCCCTTTGCTGCGACTTACTTTCGTCTAGCCCGCCTTGCCCGCAGGCCCGCACCGGTTCGACAGAAAAGGGGGCGCCCTGGTTCGCCCTTGCCTCCAACCCCCCCCCCGTTGCCCCTCGTTGGCGGCTGGGCGTCGGCGCTAATCACCGGCGCCGCCCCGTTGATCTTAAACAGGCGGGCGCCACCCCGGGATTCGCCCGAGCAGGCGAAGTATTTTGTAGAACGTGCGCCCCCCGCGGATTTGTGAATCACAAGTTGCCCAGATGACTGAAGGACGTGTGTACCACCATCAGTGACGGCGACGAGCCGAGCGAATACAACTACGGGAACGCCAACGGCTCCGAGCGGGTGACGCTGCAGACCTACGTCGACAATATCAGCGAGGCCGACAAGGGGCAGGAGTTCACCAACGAGGCGGTCGACTTTGGGGTGTGGCGCGGGCGAAGCACAGTCGCTGGAGCATGGGAACCCCGCCGGCTATTTCGAGAAAAAGGCTCTGTTTCATCGCGCCCGTGGACGGTGGGACGCAGCTCTTCGCGAGCCGTGCGGATTCACGCGGGTGGTTGAACCAGCTGGACTTCCAGGCAGAGGTGACGTTCGGACGACCGTAAGGGCAAGTGCAAAATGGCTGTGAAACGCGGGCGCCCCAAGGATGGCAACTACCTACGATGGCGACGGTGCCGTGCGCTTCGACGGCGTCGACGCGCGAAGCGGAGGCCACAATCTGAAGAAAAACGGTGTGCAGGAGGCCGACAATTTGGAGTAGTTCGCTGGCCTCCTTTCGGCGGCGCTGGAGGCTCACGGGGTCGGGGTACCCACGGGGGAGCCAGGCTGGCAGCGCGCAGGTCGCCAACTTCCTCTCGACGGCGCTGGTGGCGCCAGGGATCCACAAGGCGGACCATGGCAAGCACTCTGCCGTGCGTTTGAAGACAGGGGGGGTCCTCGCGGGTATGAGGCCATCTCGGTATGGGGTATGTGGCCTCCCTCTGCCGTCCCAGGATTCGCTGTGGAAAGTCGTGGCTGCAGTGGATCGCTTGGCTGCCGGGGGGCAGGCAGGAACCAAGAGGGCGCCGCGGCGCGGCTTTGTGTCCTCTGGCTCCAAGAAGGGGTTGCGTTCCCCCTTTCACGGGACGCGATGCACGGCAGTCTATCCTCCCTAGTTCCTCCTTTTCTCTTTCTCCTCCCCCTCTTCCCTCCCTTCCTTCTCCTTCCTCCTCTCTTCTCCTCCTCCTTCCCCTTCCCTCCTTCTCTCCCTTCCTTTGGGTGGAGGGCCTGTCGAGGCAACGGCTGTCCTCCCTGGCGTTTTTCTATCCTCCTGGGCCTCCTGGAGGCCTGTCCTCGCCGCCGATCCCTGCCTTAGCCGCCCTGTTCAGTGACGGCCCCAGGGCCCAGGAACCTCCGCCTTCTCCTCCTGGCAATGAAGAGTCTTGGGAGGGCGGCCGATTTGAACACCATTGCAAGCGGTTGCACGCTTTACGATCTCTTACAACGGGGTGCTACATCCTTGTCAACGTGTTCGCTTCTAACTCCATAGCACAGCTTACCGCGTGGGGTGTGGGTCAACTTTGCATCGGCTTGCTAACGATTTTACTCAAGCGGTACTACATGTTAGGTAACTTAGCGCGCTGGTCTGACCAGGGTAGCTAACCACGCTAACCAGATCAAAGCTAGTAGGTTAGCTAACAATGTTAGTTAAGAGAGTGCGTGGCTTAGCTGAAGAGTTTCACACACTTTGAAAGTGGTTAGCCAATGCGTTGCCAGCCCAGTTCCGCACCTTACCAAGCGTTACTATACCACTAGCTGAGCTGCGCTAGCTGGGACATCAGCATATCAGCATACCAGCATCTAGACATTTACCTGCTTTGGGAATGGGCTGCCCACGCGAAGCTAAGCCGCTGACGCTTCACAAAGGTTGCACGTACGATGCCAGGCTCATCGAACGGTTGGTAGAGGTTGCCAGGGAGTTGGCAGGGGCTGCTGGAAGGGTACCCAGTCGTTACAATCATGATAGCTACTATCAGCCCAGAACCCGTCCAAGAAAACCGTTCGCCGGCGGTTCTTCCATGAGGCGAGGCAAGCTGGGGGTCAGGAGGGAAAAAAGTACACAGACACAAGTAATCGTCGATCCCCCAGAAAATATGGGAAAATATGGGAAGTGGGGGGGAATACAAAACCCAGAACATATAGGAGAATATGGGGAATCCTGTTATCTGTGTCTATTTATTTGTGTGTCCCAGGGCCCCTTTCAGGGGAGGTCACCACAGCTCCCGCTGCCCCTCCCGCCCTCTGGGTCAGTGCTGGGCCGCGGAGGTGCCCGCCGGCGGGAGTGGCTGGCGGCCGCCGGCGCGGCGGGCGTCGCCGGGCCGACGCCGGCGCGGGCGAGCGAGATCAGCGTGTTCGGTTCCGCGGCGGCCGCCGCCGGCCGGCCGCCGCCTTTGCTCGACACGATCGACATGGGTACGGAAGGAATCGTGACTCGGCAACGCGCAGAGGGGGGTGGGGGAGGGGGGAAGGCTTCTTAGAAGCACCCCTGCTTCGTAGAAGGCGCGGGCCTTCGCTATAGACGTAGGGCCGAGGCCTTCTAAGAAGCAGGGTGCTTCTAAGAAGCCTTCCCCCCTCCCCCCACCCCCTTTTGCGCGCCGCCAGGTTACGCAGACCGAGAGCATGTCTGGTTCATCTTGAAGAGGACTTGGTGTCGGTGTCGCCGCGGACACTGTCCATTCGAGGCAGAAGGCCGCCTGCCCAGCCGCGGCCGCTGTCGGTTTTGGGCAAAATTTGCTTGTGGGTATTGTACCTATTCCTGGTGTTAAACATGAGCGGCATATTCATAGCCGCCGCAGTTGCAGATACGAGTGAGCTGGCAGCGTGGTCGTCGGCAGTTTGCGAGGCTCCCAAAAAGCCCGCCGCAGGCGCCGATTTTTTTTGTACCTATTACCCGACGGGCCCGGCGCCGGTTTTTCGGGACAGCAATGTGGGTCGGTCGCGGGTGGGTCGCGGGCGTTGCTGGCGGGACACGTGTGGGCTGCGGGTAGGTCGCGGGCGGGTCGCGGGTGTGTCGCGGGTGGGTTTCGAGCGAGGACGACGACAACAGAAAACAAAAAACATAATCTTTATTGCGGAGGTTCATCTGAGGCACGCACCCAGGGATGGTCTAAGACCGTTCGGCCCCTTCACTTTGACATTCTCCAAATAGGCTTGCCCTGTAGGAGTTCTAACTCAAACCTTACTAATTGGTCCGTTGCCCCCCCCAAATTCCTATGCCCCCCCCCTACGTCCTATGGCTATGCCCATGCCTATGCCTATGCTTCCCCTCGAGCTCCTGTGCCTACGCCTATGCCTATGCCTATGCCTATGCCTATGCCTATGCCTATGCCTACGCCTATGCACCACCTCTGAGCGCTCCTATGCTTATGCCTATGCTTATGCCTATGTTTCCGATGCTTGCTTGCTTGCTTGCTTGCTTGCTTGCTTGCTTGCTTGCTTGCTTGCTTGCTTGCTTGCTTGCGCGCTTGCTTGCTTGCTTGCTTGCGCGCTTGCTTGCGCGCATGCACGCTTTCTTGCTTGCTTGCTTGCGCGCTTGCGTGCACGCTTGCTTGTTTGCTGAGTTGCGGATTCCAAGCATGCTTGATTTCTCTGATTCCTTGATTTGAGTCGTCTAATCTATTTGGAGTCAACACTGGCTGATATACACAGATCCCAGACGATGCGATCCGAGATTTTCCCTCGATGCCGGCCATTTGGGGCTGTTTTCGGGACCTGGGACCACCCAACATGGATCCTGGATAAAAGAACCCCTGGGGGAAGGAGTCGGTACCTCGTGGGGCCGCGGGTTTAGACATCACGTTGTCGGGTGTCTCGGTTCAAGGACAACGACAGGGTTCAGGGGACTGGCGCAGGAGGAGGAGGAGGAGGAGGAGGAGGAGGAGGAGGAGGAGGAGGATGAGGAGGAGGAGGAGGGAGCGGAGGGAGGAGTGAAGGGGAGGGAGGAGGAGGGAGGAGGGAGGAGGGAGGAGGGGGAGGGAGGGAGGAGGAGGAGGAGGAGGGAGGGAGGAGGGAGGAGAGGAGGGAGGGGAGGAGGGAGGAGGGAGGAGGGAGGAGGAGGAGGAGGAGGAGGAGGAGGAGGAGGGTTCAGGGTACTGGCCCAGCGGGGGCATCGACCCCCAATCGCCCGTTCATCGCCAATCGGGGCCTGTGCCCCGCACCCCGCCCAGGAAAGAGGCCGGGGCGGCAGGGTCACAGCCGTGCGGGGGGAGTGTGCTTCCGACTTGACGCCTGACTTTTTATTGAGTTGCGGAGGGTTTGACGCACTGGGAAGCGAGGGGCAAGAGGTGTAAGATGTCAGATGGTAGGCATGTGGCGGGGGCACGCAGCTCGCACCTCTTTCTTGCTCCATTCCCCTGCTCGCTTCTGTTGCTCCCTCCAGCGTCTCCGTCTGCGTAACCGTCTGCATCTCTTCGTCCGTCTCTTTGTCCCCCTCTCTCTTTTTTCCTCCATCCAGTTTTTGCTTCTTTCTCTGTCCTCGTCCCTGGCCGTGTCCCCGTCTAGCCAGTGTCTCTGTCTCTGTCTCTCCGTGCGCACTCCCTCGTCGTTGCCAGCTGCTTCTGCCACGCGTCCCTCGTGTCGAACAGTGAGGTGCAAATTTGGATTTGAGCTTCCTCGACCCGAAAGCGCCGGAGGACTACAACAAGCCCCCGGCTGATGCCGAGGAGGGGGGCATGGAAATGGTTACATGAGCTCGCGGATCGCGTAAAAATGGGGAAGCAGTTAGAGAGCCAGTGATAACCACACATTCCCTTTTTGATACATATCTCGGAGAGGGCATGAGCCCAGGGTTCTCTTTTAGTTGGTAAAGCTGTCCCAAGTTCCTCTACGTAGGGCCGGTGGACTAGTGTGCGATAAATAACGAGCTCGCGTAGGGCCGCTGGATTAAATTTTGAGGATATCCCGAGCGAAATTTTGGTTTTCGAAATTCCGATTGATGAAACATATGGTGAAGTTAATCTTTGACCGTCTTGAAGCTGTCCTCTCCACTGCTCGTGCAAACATCCCACCCTCCCACCCGCAACTTGGTCGCAAGACCTCTTAAGACAAGACCGTGACGGTACGTACCACATGACATTTGGCCACGACGCCGACGCCGACGACGACAGCGACAACGACGACGACGGCGCCGCCGACACCGACTACGACGACACCGACGTCGTCTCCAACGACTTCGACGACGACAGCGACGACACCGACGACGACGACGACGACGTCAACGACGCCGACGACGACGACGACGGCGACTACGACGACACCGACGACGTCTCCGACGACTTCGACGACGACAACGACGCCGACGCCGACGACGACGAAGACGACGACGACGTCGCCAACGAAGATGACGAGGGAGGAGGAAGGACGACGACGGCGACAACGACGACAACGACGACAACGACGAGGGAGGAGGGAGGACGGCGATGACGCGAACGACGAAGTAGGAGGAAGGACGGCGGCGCCGACGACGACAACGGCGAGGGAGGAGGGAAGACGACAACGACAACGGCGACGACGACGACATCCGTGTTGCGAAACCTGGTGTTTTTTTTAGGTTTTTGGACACACGAATTTGAAATCTTTCCGAAACCGATGGGTTTTGAAGGTTTTCGGCATACGCGCGCGACGACGCGCGCGTCTGAACTTCGTCCCATTTTTTGCAGAGGATTCTCGCGACGGCACACGCGCAAGGGCGTTCGACAAATTTCGACATGCGCGCGCGCGAAGCCCGTTTAATAGCATTTCGTGAAAATCTTGAAAAACCTATGGTTTTCTTAAGATTTCGCAAGAGCTCGCGCGGAATCTTTTTTAGCAAATCAGTGTTGCGAAACCCTGTGTTTTTGTATGTTTTTTGGAACCTCGATTGCGACATCCTTCCGGCACCGAAGGTTTTTGAAGGATTTCGGCATGCGCGCGCGACGACGCGCGCGTGTGCACATCGTCCCCTTTTTCTGCAAGGGATTTGCGAAAAAGTGTTATGCTAGAACAAAAAATATCACCGCATAGTGTTTTTTACAAGGGACCCTCAAGGGGGGGGGATACCGCCCCCCTGGGATAGTGTAAATTCATGTTTCGGATGGACATGTGGTCAGAATCATATATGATTTACCCGAAAGGGGTATTGATAACGCCGGGGGGGGGGGGGGTAGATCCTATTCTTTTTTTCTCAAGGAGAATGAACATTTTCGTTTGTTGCGGATGTCTCGAGCAAAACGTTTGTTTTGCAGAATGTGCTGAAGATTTTTCTAGGGAAACGCTTGCCTTGTTCCGATAGAATGCTATTCTCCTGAGGGCCAGGATTCAGAGGACCTCAGGCGAAATGCTTGTTTTCACATGCCCAGGTTGCCCAGGGGGATATCAAACCTTGTGTTCCCGAGCTGGAGCCTCCTGTTTTCGCGTGTCCAGGCCACCTAGGGGGGTATCTACCATGGTTGCCCCGAGCTGGAACCACATGTTTTTTTCGCCCACGGGGGGTATCTGACATGTGGTCGCCTGGGGGGCCCCAGGGTGTGGTGGGGGCCACAAGAGCCTGACAAAATCAAGCAAACGACACCAGATGCAATAACTTGATGCAGTTTCTTCGGCGGGTGATTTTGCAGATTTCCCCTTATGGGGTATCTAACATGGTAGTCCCGAGCTGGAACCAGGTGTTTTTACGAGGCCAGGTCAGTCAGTGGAGTATCTAGCATTGTGGTCCCGAGCTGGAGTCACGTGTTTTTTCGTGTCCAGGCCATCCAGGGGGGTATCTAACATGGCTGCCCCGAGCTGGAAGCATGTGTTTTTACGCTCACGGGGGGGGGGTATCTGACATGTGGTCGCCTGGGGGGCCTCAGGTTGGGGGGCCCGCAAGAGCCAGACACAATCAACATGCCGACACCAGATATGTCATACCATAACACAGTTTCTTCGGCGGGTGATTTTGCAGATTTCCCCTTTCTGGGGTATCTAACATGGTGGTCCCGAGCTGGAACCACGTGTTTTCAAAGGGTCAGGCCGCCCCGAGAGGTATCTAACCTGGTTGCCCCGAGCCAGAACCACGTGTCTTCACTTGTCCAGGCCACCCAGAGGGGGATATCGAGCATTGTGGTCCCGAGCTGGAACCACGTGTTTTCGTGTGTCCAGGCCACCCAGAAAGGGGATATCCAACGTTGTGGTCCCGAGCTGGAACCACGTGTTTTTACGTGTCCAGGCCGCTCATAGGGGCATCTGACAGGGTGGTCGCGAGCTGGAACCACGTGCTTTTCCGTATCCAGGCCGCCCAGAGGGGGGTATCCAAGATGGTTGCCTCTTGCCCCTCGCTGGATCTAGGTGTTTTCATGTGTCCAGGCCACCCAGAATGGGCATCTAACATGATGGCCCCATGGCCCCGAGCCGAAACCACGTATTTTCTTTTGCCCAGGCCACGCAGGGCGGGTATTTTACATGGGGTCGTCAGGGGGGCCCCCAGCGTGGGGGGCCCACAGGAACCAGGCAAAATCAGTGCACCGGCACCATATGTGTCATGACCTCACACAGTTTCTTCGGCGGGTGATTTTCCAGATTTCCCAGTTATAACATGGTGGTCCCGAGCAGGGGCCCCGTGTTTTCGCGTGTCCAGGCCACTCAGGTGGATATCTAATATGGTGGTCCCAAGCTGGAACCCCGTGTTTTCAGGTGTCCAGGCCACTGAGGTGGCTATTTAACATGGTGGTCTCGAGCTGGAGCCATGTGTTTTCACGTGTCCAGGCCACCCAGGGCGTTATCTAACATGGTTGCCCCGAGCTGGAACCACGTGCTTTCACGTGTCCAGGCCGCCCAGGGGGGTATCAAGCATGGTTGTCCCGAGCTGGAACCACGTCTTCACGCGTCCAGGCTACACGGAGATATTCAACATGTGGCCGTCTGGCACAACGCCTGAGCAAATTGTGAGGGCGCCTCGAGCGAGGGCTGCGGAACTGAATCGGATCTTGAGCTCGAGCTGGTCGAGCGCCTCGCGCGTTTCGATTGCAACTAGCCCGAGCTATGCGTTCAGACAGCTCGAACTTAAGATCCAAATCAGTTCGGTCAGGATTCTGACGTCAACGACGGCTTGACCCACAATGCAATAGCACACGGCACAGAACGCGACATGTCCCCTGGCGCGCCCCCTGGCACTTCCACTGGCACGCTGCGTGGCGCGTCCTTGGCACGTCACTATGCGGCGCGTCACAGCAGAGAGCAGCACACACAACACAGCCCTTGGCATAATATCATCACCATTGATATCTTCAGCATTGCCATTGCCCGTCGCCAAATTGATGTGTTTGGGAACGTTCCCATGCCTCGCAGTTCTAAATCCCTTGCTGGGACCCTGCGTACCCCCCCCCGAGACGGGATCCCCGGCGCCCAGGGCTCCTGGACGCCACCTCCGAGGGTCCCGCGAGATTTCTGGGCCTCTGGAAGTCCCTAGAAACCCGTGCAAACGGGTGGCGGCGGTCCCAAGAGACCTACAAGACGATCCCAGAAGGCCTTCAGCGGCCCTGGACACCCGCCAGACGCCCGAAGACGGCTCAAATATCACCCCCAAGAGGTCTTCGAAATGCAAAAGACGTTGATTTTCCATTGTTTCTGGAATGATTTTGGGCTACTCGGTTATTCGGTCTTCCAAACCGTGACCCCAGACCACGGTTCGCGGCATGGTGGCCCGAGGACCCCCCCAGAGGCCGCCAAAAGGTGCCAGAGACGTCTCCAGAGGCGCCCAAGGAGCCTCTGAAAAGCTTTCGCGAGGTCCTCCAGAAGCTCGCCTCGGAGGAGCCTCCGCAAACAAATCTAAGGAGGATGGGGAAGGGTTTGCGGTACAATGAAGGCCAGAACGAGGAAGAGGAAGAGGAAGGGGACATGTGAGGTAACGAGAAGGAACAACAATCTGGTAACGGTGATGGCGAAAACTGCAAAAACGATCGCTGTTTTGATTGATCTACCTCTCTTTTATTCTGCCTGCATGGTGAGGAACCAAGGTGCAGTGCATTGCGCGAAGCGCCAACGCAGTCTTGTATACATATTCCTCTTCACATAGTTTTACAAGCCCGGGCGGGGGGAAAACCCATCCCCCCCCAAAACGGGACTCCCGGGATCTGGGGCTTTGGGAACCTCCAGACGGGCCTCGAAGCGGCCCCCGGGCCTCGCAGGGCATTTTGCCAAGCCTTCCCAGCACACCTAGGGCGATCAGGGGGGTCATCGGAGACGTCCTAGAGACCCCCAAGACAGCACAAGAGCGCTCCAAGAGTGACCGACGTGACCTCAAGATGGCCCAAGAGGCCTCCAGGACGGCCCCAAAGAGGCCTCCAAGAGCACTCCCGAGAAGGCCCCCCGAGGCACAAATCATTGATTTTCTGTTGGTTTTTGGTGAAGTCTGCGGTTCTCCTCTATTCGGCTTCCGACGCTCCAAGACGGCGGTCTTCTGGGCGTTCGAAGCCGCCTGGGGGGCTCCCCAATCGCCTCACAACCATCCGAAAGGGCTTCCAGGCAGTCCAAGAGAGCCCCAAAACGGCACAACACGGGTCCAAGATGGCCCTCAGAGAGCCCCATGGCGGCCGCCCAATATGGCCCAAAGACACCCTCCGAAGCATTCCGAAGCGTGACCCGGTCGTTCAGGGAGACCGCGGTTGGAGGCAAGGTGGCCCAAGGAAGCCCCCGGAGGCCCCCAGAA